GGTGAGGGATTATTGTATTTGTATGTGATATTTTATGGGTATTTTTTGAACCTCAGACTCGGCGTCGGCATTGAACAGCGTCAATAATCTGAAAATTAAATCAAGCAGGCCTGTTAAGCTTGCTCAAGTGAAATTATGCATTTTTTACGTTTATTTCAGTTTCAAAATTACCAAAGAATTAAATATTTTAAAATGTTTAAAATTTAGCCATCTAAAACTGCGGAGAAATACTTTAAAGTGTTTGCTCTGGGCTATGGTAGTCGCTACTTTTTTAATCTTTATCAATAATCGCCAGGTCGCTTCTCTGAATGTTCCATCGAACAACAAAATTAACTTATGACAGATAATGACTATTTTGAACTAAATATTTTTTTAATTCTAAAGTTATTTTAGTATTATTTTTCTATTATTAACTATTCCATTATTTAAGAGTCACTTTAAAATTTGTATGGCAATTCATTATATCGGCCAGTAACTGTTTCTTATAAATAATCAATAATATTTTGAAATTATCAATTGACTTTAAAAAGTTACTGCTGGAAATTTTTTTAATAATAATCCACACTGAATATATTGTCAGCGTCTCGTATAGCCTATTTTGCTGTCATTTTCTAGAATAGAGAAACAAAAAGCGCTGGCGTGCGTGCAGGGAACGAGGAGATGTCGAACACGAGCCTCGATAAACATTAATGTTTGCTCTGCTCAACATTAATGTTTGCCTGCTCGACATTAATGTTTGCTCTGCTCAACATTAATGTTTGCACTGCTCAACATTCATGTTTGCACTGCTCATCATTAATGTTTGCACTGCTCAACATTGATGTTTGCTCTGCTCAACATTAATGTTTGCTCTGCTCAACATTGATGTTTGCACTGCTCAACATTGATGTTTNTCAATACTAACGTCTGTCTTGATCAATAATAGCGTCTGTCTTGATCAATAATAGCGTCTGTCTTGCTTAATATTAATGTCTGTCTTGATCAATATTAACGTCTGTCTTGCTCAATACTAACGTCTGTCTTGATCAATACTAACGTCTGTCTTGCTCAATACTAACGTCTGTCTTGATCAATAATAGCGTCTGTCTTGCTTAATATTAATGTCTGTCTTGCTCAATAATAATTTCTTGCTCAATATTAATGTCTGTCTTGCACAACATTAATGTCCTTCTTGTTCAATATTAATTTCTTGCTTAATATTAATATCCGTCTTGCTCAACATTAACGTCTTTCTTGCTCAATATTAACGTCTTTCTTGCTCAATATTAACGTCTGTCTTGTTCAACATTAACGTCTTTCTTGCTCAATATTAATGTCTGTCTTGCTCAATATTAACGTCTGTACTGCTCAATATTAACGTCTGTCTTGCTCAATATTAACTTCTTTCTCAATATTAATTTCTTGCTCAATATTAATGTCCGTCTTGCTCAATATTACCGTCTTTCTTGCTCAATATTAACGTCCGTCTTGCTCAACATTACCGTCTTTCTTGCTCAATATTAACGTCTGTCTTGCTCAATATTAACGTCTGTCTTGCTCAATATTAACGTCTGTCTTGCTCAATATTAATTTCTTGCTCAATACTAATGTCTGTCTTGCTCAACATTAACGTGTTTCTTGCTCAATATTACCGTCTTTCTTGCTCAATATTAACGTCTGTCTTGCTCAATATTAACGTCTGTCTTGCTCAATAATAATGTCTGTCTTGCTCAATATTAATGTCTGTCTTGCTCAATATTACCGTCTTTCTTGCTCAATATTAACGTCCGTCTTGCTCAACATTACCGTCTTTCTTGCTCAATATTAACGTCAGTCTTGCTCAATATTATCGTCTGTCTTGCTCAATACTAATGCTTGACTAGTGCTGCTGTCTCTGTTTCTGCTCACTGCAGACGCAGCTCTCATGCCAGACTTCACTTACTATCACGTGATCTCAAACAGCCGCGTTTCCTGCGTTCGTATCGCCCATGAACTTTAATATCGTTCGAGGTCGATGTTGTAATTGATTTAATCTGCATTAAATTGGCATGTATTTAAAAACAAATGTTCTCTAATTAACTTCAATTGTTTAACATTTTGCACGTCGCAAGTGAGGGTTATTCAATTTAACCACAATTCTGGATCATGCAACTTAATTTGAAAGCAAATTTGGATTGTCATTTTCTTCGTGTGCGCCTTATTCTTGTCTTTATAGTTGGCTTTCCTCAACGCCGTAATGATTTTAGTAATAGGAATTTATGAATAAAAGTACAATGTAAACAACAAATATTGGGAAAAAATATTTCTACCAAATGTATTGGTTAAAATGGTCGTGAATAATTATATGCACTCCTAAAACGTAATCCCTACGAAAATACTAAATCCAAGTTTTCAAGTTTAATATATAATTTAATTTTAAGACTGAGAAAGTGTCTAGGTGGGGCAAGTAATTTGCATTACCTAGCCAGTCATTTCTCACACCATCGCAGTTCCTACCCTTGGTATTTTTTTCTAGTCAACCTCAAGCCAAAACTAATCTACAGACAAATTAAACCATTGCCATCATTGCTGTCACGTTCTTCTCACTATTAATAACGATGTTCTTACCTGAATATTGTAATTAATCACAGGGCTAATAGTTTAGTGTTAGTTTTGCCTGGTAGCAGGAACTATTTGCGGAAGTATTGAATGGATAAACGATGGAGTTGACTTTGCTATAGCGACCTCAGCACGCAGCGAGGGCCGCTTCTTTACCTGCCTGACCTTTGTCGTGTTGTATGTCGTCACCGGGGCGTCGCCAGGAACGTAAGTTCAATTGAGGTTTATCTCGGTTCCTTGATCCATTTTTGGGAGCTGTCCCGCTATGCAAATACGGTTAAATCTACGCAGAAGCTTACAGTAAACTGTTTTCCTTGGTTAGGAACGTTTTAAACTTGTAAGCGATAGGTAATTCTTGCCACCAATTGTTGCTCGTCTTTGTCTATATGTAGGTGCGTTTATAACCCTTTTTTCTATTTATTTTTACTGGGCAACGAACAATCGTCTTGCTAACACAATAATTTGTATGATATAAAATTTTGAAATCAATAATTCCCTCGATCAGACCCACTGTTTAATTATTATAATAAATTCAATTCAATTGAATGTTAATTTTTAAATTTCATCTTTGTATTATAAGTCTTCTTAATATTACAGCTGAAACATTGCTATTACAGCTACTGCGAACACGCTCGTGATTGACCGCTATTTATTTTTGGCACCAGGCTCCTAAACAAACTTGAGAGACACCCACACTCTCCTCAATAAGTGTTTTTAACGGAAAAAATTGGTTTAATAATTTTACTGAATTATTGAGCTATTTAGCTATAATTTATTTAGATACTCCTTTCAAACAATGCCTTCTTCTGTGGAAGCTGCGACAGAACGCCTCACCGCTTCTCGGAAGTCATTCAGCCTTGAAGCATCAGGAGCCAAGCAAAAAAATGAAGGTTACTTTCGGTATCCATGTTCCACTGGAATGAAGGAAGATACTCATTCCCTTCTTTTTTCCTAAATTCACGGCATATCTCATGTAAATAAAAATGTCTCGATCTGAAGAATTTTTTTCTTCGTGGAGACTGTTGCTCCATGGAACCCAACTGGGCTCACGTTCCAGCTCTAACTCGATATGCTGCTTCCATTCCATGTAATATGACTGAAGACATATTGTTAAAATTTAAAGCAAAAGGCTAAGTATGCTTCCTTTTTTTCAAACGATAAAATTATATTCCATATTCTAGATGGCTAGAATGAGTTAGTTAATCAAACGCATAATGTTCCCCCATTAATATAAACGTGGTGTTTCAGGATGCAACCTTCAACAGGGCTAACTGCAATGACACACACTGCAATTAATTTTGTATTGCTTTATTATTCGTTTAAAAACTTTATAATTGCAGCGATAAGGAACCTCGCTTTCTGCTTCCCGATTGCAAGTTTCGAAGTGTCGGAAGTTACGTGTTTGCTAATTATATTTCTCTCGTCCCTCTTGTTAGCTAGCAGCAAAAAATTCCTCCTTGATTGGATCGATTCTTCTTGAAAAATCTTCAAGATTGCATGAAAAATTTCCTTGATCAATCTTAAAATTTTAGTATTTCGTCATTCGGTATTTTTTTAAACTATTGACGCATATAGTCGGTGCGAGGACGCGCTGCCTATCAATACCAAAGAGCTTACTAAACTATGGAGAAGGCAACAAATTAATGACTACAGTTCATGCTAATATGTAGGAACACGGACCTTTATTCAAGATCGGGGAATAAAAATATCATTGTTATCAGAACGAAAGTTCGAGTTAGCGCTCCTCAGCGCCGTTCTGGCCCATGGACAAGCTAAGGCACATAGACAAATGTTGTTAAGGGCCTCGAAATGCTGAGAGACTTCGCATGCACGTTCAACTCGTTCAGAACGATTTCCAATTATGAGACAGTCTATATTATATGCAAATTATATGACATTGATAATATGACTCTGTCATATGATTAATGATATTATAATTAACGCGCTGTCATCGCATTAATGCGCACACAAAAATCATTATAATTTTCGGCCTTTAAATAAAGCTAAGCATGGTGAGATGTATTGGCTTTATACGTATTTTGATACTCACTCCTGTTCGTAGCATGAAATGGTGACGAACTGTTGCTCTTCATTCGATGATATTCATTGTGAAATTTGAACTTTTTGAAAAATTCAACTCCCCATTTTACATGAAAAGCTAAAATGGACAATTTTTACCCTTATCCTATTTTACGGGAACAACACTTTTCAATTTTTTAGTATTTATGTGTAAATTACATTCAAATTATGTCTCCATTTTTAAGGTATAGGAATACCTTCGAGCTTAAGAGGCTCCGATTGAAGTTTTTTTAAAACGCTTCATTGATACTAAATTTAGGTACAATTGTACCTATGCAATAATTGTACCTGATCCGACATGGGTTGAATTGAACTAAAAATTAACGTTGATGTATTTGCCTAAACTTCAATAATCCACAGCAGCGGAAATTGAAAAACGGACCATTGTAAACAAACTTGAACTGAGCATAATATGGATGTTTGTATCAAAATCTTTTGAGACAAATTATACCATTGTTTAATCATCTAATTTTAATATATAATATGTCTCGGATTGTGAAAATTTTTAAAGCCTTCCGTAATCATCCCAAAAAAACTATTTTATTCTCTGCTCTTGCTGCTTATGGCATTAATTATGCCAAATCAAAGTATGAGTAAGTACTAATGACCAGTAATGGTAATACTAATAGTAATACTAATGCCAATGGTACTATGTAATTTATGTATGAACTTTTCTTCTTGGATCAAATTGTACCAAATTTGGTCCATGCATTACCAAAATCACAATTTTTGTCTCTGAACAGCAACATTTTTATTGAGAATTGGTTGCCAGAATTTTCATAGTTATCAAAATTTGTTTGCAAAATCAAAAGTATAATTACCTAGCTACAATTGATGCCTTTACTTTTTCATAACAACTATCTATCATGACATCACTTATGGCTTATGCTACCAGCTACCTGTCTCTGTAAAAAAAAAAAATATATTTTGTTAAAAAACAGTAGAAAAGTAAGCCATAACTATTTAACATGAATAAAAGCTTTTATGTTATTATCTAGCTACCAAACCCTACAAATTTTAATTCTAATCAAGATTTGAATTTTCCTACTTATTACTGTAATATTTTGTCTTTTAACTGAAGTCCATTCTGGAAAATCAGAGAGAATGAAAAAAAAAAGAAAAATAATACATTTCTATTTTCTGACTACTGACCAGGACTGCAATTTATGAAAATTCACTTATAATAATTATTTTTATGTGCAATTTTCAGAAAATTCTAATTCATATACTGAATTCCAAAGTAACATATATTCAAAAAATTTTGAATCTGGTCATAACCATAACCTTTGGTCATAACCAAATTGTTAATGTATGTTAACCTTTTTAGAAAATAACTAATTAATTTAGCAGGAATTTTGCTGCTTCTTAAGAGTTGAGTGGCAGAAAAATTTTAGTCAAGGCTCAAAAGGTAGATCAATAGATGTACCGGTATTCTATGACTATTGACTGGCAGACTGGGTTTGACCATTACCTATTTATAAGGTTTTTATTGATGAGTGGCAAGTTAAGTGCAGTAGTAGTTGCCAAGTGGTGACTTATTTGTCATTGATTATAATTTTTTTAGACAAAATTCATAAAAAAAATAATTCTAGCAATAACTTTGTTACACCTTTAATGAAGAAATCTTTATTAAGATAATGAATCCACTTGTGTTTGACAGTTGACACCTACAATTAAGTCCACTTTATCACTTGAATAAATCTAGCAAAAACTTTTTTCACCTTTAATGCAGAAATCTCTGTGAAGAAAATGAATCTGTTTGTGTCTGATACTTCCATTTCAAGTCCACTTTATCACTTGAACTTTATCAGAAGGTTTATGATTAACACATGTTACATGTTATGGTGTTACCATTTAGCATAATGGCATCAATCACTGAGATTTTCTATGTCATAGTGGGATGATAGTGCTCAATTTCAGTGCGAGTCCCTAGACAGTGATTTTTTTGTCTTGAGTTTTTGATAGTATAACAATAAATATAAATGAGGAAACTCAAGAGAAACTTTCACTTTCAAAAACAATTACCTAATGTTGCACTCGACAATTTCTGGGGTGCCATTGGCAAATATTAATGCATTTCAATGAAATTTCAAATTAGAACCAGGTTTAAAATTGTATGCATAAAGATTGACTCATGGTTATCTTTCTCATGAGATTTCTAAGAATTTTGTCTCAAAATTAAAAAAAATTGCAGGCAAAATGTAGAATAAACTCTAATTTTATTATCAGAAATAATGCGAGGATCATCATGCTTTGGGAAGTACTGGTACTGTAGTCATAAAGAATTCCTCAAAAATGAATGTGGAGCATATTTTAGTGTCTTTTTTTTCACTGCTCCTAATCATAGGAATTTTTATGTTATTTTTTCAAATTAAAAGTTTTTTAATTTTTATGTTATGAATTAATTCATGATAAAGCAATGTATAGATATCAGTTTTTTGGTGATGATTGGAAAACAATAGAATTTGCAGTATATTCTGAAGTGACAAGCAATATTGGAAAATTCCTTTTTATTACTTGAATATAGTGGCCTATTTTTAATAATTTTGTAATCTAGTGGCTTGATTGTGTGTTTTAGTAAATTATATAGGAAACAATTTTTCTTGTGGTAAAATCTTGTGGCTCTAGAAATGACAGGAAAGCTCTAGTCACAGCTTGGAAAGTAGATATACCCCATGCTTGGGCGAGAGCAAGGTTAAAAAATCGGGGATTTGTGGACATACTGCATGGAGATGTACTTTAGTTTGGAATCATGCTGCATGAAATGATTTACTACCACTGTAATTAAGTACAGTATGCATTTAATAACTAAATGTAATTAGCATTGAAAGCCTTCTTTTGGAGCTTATAGCATTTGTAGCATCATTTTGACAATTTTTACTTTTCAGGGAAGAGCAGTTGCTAGCAGCCTACTGCAAAGAAGCATCTTGGTATGGAGATCAACCATTGCCTTATTCTGCCAATCATCGCCACATCACAGTTCTTCTAAATCCGGCAGCTGCAGGAGGGTTTGTTACCAGCTTCTTCATTATATTGCTAACTCTTTTACTGGTGTGGAAGAAAAACACATCTTATAGCATATTCATGTCATGATCAAATTTTGCTTTAAATTTATTCATTGTATATTTCTTGTAAAATAATTTTTTCTTCTATGCAGAAAATGTAAAGCTCAATTCGACAAGTATTGTGCACCTCTGCTGCACTTGGCTGGCCTGAAAGTTGCTATTGTGCGCACTGAACACCAAGGTCAAGCCAGGGATCTCATGGCCATCATGGAAAAGACAGATGGCGTTGTACTTGCTGGTGGTGATGGAACTTTGTCCGAAGTTAGTAACTTTGAAAGTGAAGTGAAAGCTAGCAGGCAGTAACATTATGATATTTAATAGCAAAGTTTATGATCATTCCCAATCATCAATTTCATTTTTGGCTTTACAGATTTTTTTGGCTGTGTTTCTGTGCTTAACTTAGTCATCCCTAAATACAGTCTCTAGTAATCGATTTGCATTATTTGTGCAGGCTTTAACTGGATTGCTGCGACGTACAGACGACGCTGCCTCCCGTCTCCCTCTTTCAATCCTTCCGCTCGGCGCGTGCAGTGTGGCTGGTAAGGCAGTGTGGGGCCTCTCTGAGCAGCCCCAGCCTCGTGACCTTCTGGAGGCAACAATGGCCGTCGTGAGGGAGGTCCTCTCACCTATGGACGTTATGGAAGTCCTGCCCCTTACTTCTGCAGACGAGGTACCAATTTCCTAATGGCTTACATGGTTATAACGAAGCTAAATTTAAAGGGTTTGTCAAGTGGTGATGAAATCGATGCAGTGCCATGAACAGACAGCAGCTGCCATTCGTATGAGAGGCATGTGCTTTTGTCCAGAAACGTCATTGGATCATAGCTCTGTTTTTATGGCGGCTCAATGTGTTGGTGGCATATGATATTCTTTAGGTATATTATTGCAATTTTCTACTTAATTTTCATCATAAATTCTGATTATTTATTTAGGCAAGAATTATTATCCAAGTATTCTTTATTGAATTATTGTGTCACTCAATTTTATTCAATATAATTTCAAATTCATATTAAACAAATTTACTATTTTTAATTGCCGTAGTATTTCGTTATAATAAAGGGTTTATAATACTGTATACATATGCTTGATGCTTTTTAAAAATAATTTTTTAGTCCTTTTTGATAATTGTGCATAAATTTACACATATTTTGTTGGCTTGACCTGCTAATTCTGTTGTTGGTTTCAGTTCATATCCCATCTGATTTAAGTGATTTTAATTTTACGATTTTCTCTTCTGCTCATTTTTAAATTTTTCATTGAACACTTCTCTTTAGCTTCACTTCTTGTTTGTTTGTTTGTCTGCTACAAATCTTATAATCAATATTTAACACAATTCTACCTGTCCAGTCCATCTGAAATTTTGCACATGCCTAAAGTTGGAGACAATGCTTGAATCAATTAGTAGAAAAAATAATATTATAGCTTATGGATAAATTGCATTTAGTGTTCATCCCTTCATTTTACATTTAAATACAACTGCCAATGAATGAGAATGTCAAAGGAAAATAATTAGCATTCAAATTACTGGATACTCTTACATCACGAATATTATCTTACAATTTAGATTTTAGACCAGAATCAATATGTTCCATAACTCTGTGTGGTTCATTCAACATCATCAGTAATGTTCTCTAATGAAATTATGATATGTGCAGAATCCTGCTAAACCCATCTTCGCATGCATGCTGGAGTGGGGCGCTTACAGAGACGCCTGGGAGCGACGAGACAAGTATTGGTACTGGGCAACGCTCAGGAGATATGTCACGTATCTCTTCTCTTCTTATAAAGGTGAAATCTCGGAGCTTGACGTACATAAATATTCCACGATTGTGAATTCCCCTTTCATTTAATCAAAATTATTGCAGATGTACTCTAATGTTTATGTTTATTTGTGTTTTCATTTGCGTTCATATCACATTGTCTTGGCAATAATCACCAGACTTGAACTGGGACTGCAGCTGCAGCGTCTTGTACACGCTGCCATGCGCCGGATGCTCTCGTTGCGCCGGGCCGGCCTCGTCACCGCAAGACGTGAAGGAGAAAAATATTGGCCGCAGCAAGCGCTGGTATCACTACCTTCTGCCTAGTATGGGCAACGTTAACTTGGGACACGAGAAACCTGACACATCGCTACCACACACGCGACCCACTGGTAAGACTCTTGGAGCTTTAGGTTGACAAGCGGGTGAAAATATTCGCAATTTTATTCTGGGAGTTCTGATGGTGGATTTTTTCCTTATTTAATTTGGTTTTCAGTTCAAATACCAGAGATTTGTCTGTAAATTACTTTAATATCGAATGTACAAGTTTTATGTTGTTTGACTAATCCGTATGTAATGTCCGAAATCAAGTGTTCGTTTTTGAAGCACGCATATAGGATGATGTAGCGGTATACATTGATATTCGAATATTTTTCAATACGAGACAAAAACGGCGTTAGTTGTAATGAGGACCTCGATATAGAGGCTTGAAATAAGTTGAACGATATCGTTATTAAAATTTAGCATAATATAATCGTAAATGGCCATGCAGAAGACAGAAGTGGCGTGATCAACCCCGAGTGTGGCGAGGTGCACGAGGAGACCGTGGGGCGCGTGTGCGATGTGCGCGTCGCCACGCGGAACTCGCCCGCCGCCAGCCACCTCCTGCCTCATCAGCTGCTCTTCCGCACCGGTGTGCTGTCTGCGTCTATTACTTAGTATATACACGTGCGATCGATGGCCAGAGAATTCGTTGATTTATATTATCAGTGAGTGGAACTTTTCTTCAGATGACGGTAGATTAATTGGCAAGTTTCAGGAAGCAATTTTTATTTATTAACGACGTTTCGAATGAAGTTTTTTTATTTTATTTATTAACGACGTTTCGAACATGAAGAAGTCTAAAACCTTCTTTGAAGCAAAATTTATAGACTACACCGGCCTCTCGGATAACTCCCGCGTTTTTGCAGGGGCCTTTGCTGCTCTTGGTTTGGAATTTGACATTGTTGTCAAGAGTGTCACAAAGCCTGTTGAATTCATCGACGATTTTGAGATGAACTCGCTTGTTAATAATGCTTTGAGACCTGGTATGGTAGTGAACATACTAAGTATATGTAGAGACAAGAACCCTGTGCGTAACTTGAATGTAGGTGAAATCGATAACTGGATATAAAAACATTCAATTATATATGGTCTAGAATCGAGTTCTTATCTCTGATGTAGCTAAAATAATGCCTAAATATAGTCAAGCATCATGCGGTTATGATGCTTTAAAAATATATGAATAGTTAATCAAACATCGACTTCATTGTTGACCGAGTATCGCCACCCCGTAGGAGCTACCGACACCTCCACGACTGAGTTCATCAGCGAAGGCTGGCGTCGTACAAGCAGCGGTGCGGCCACCCACGCGCGGGAGCAGCTCGTCGGCTCCATCACCATCCGTCCTACAGGGGAGCTCAAAAACAACCAGGTTAGTTTCCAATCACGCTATTACTTTTAATGTAAAAGAATTCAAGTGAATATCCATCATAGTATGCATCAAGCTACATATTTATCAAGAACCACAAATGTATCATGTTTATAATTATCTGTGTATTGTCCCTAGTACACTCATTGCTCGTTTAATATCTGCTTATTCCAAATGCACTATAATGCTGAAGAAATTTATTAGTTTATAATGTTGAAACATTTAAAATTCGTTGCAGTGCCCGCATCCTTACAATCTTGTATCAGTTTATTAATGTTTATGTGCGTGTATGAAACCTGGTATCGTGAATATATAGGGACTGTTCGAGCGCGTATCCAGGATATCTATGGATCGGAAGATTACTTGGATTGCCTGGAAGAATACTTTGGGTAATCTCGAGTAATATCCAGATTGAAGATAACGTGGACTGAGCTTGAACTCAGTCTTATTTTTGTGAGGAACATTGAGGCATTGCAAAGCATGGATGAAAGAATTGTATAAAAAAAAATTAAATTGGATAAGAAAGGGTAGATACGTACACGAATTTAATAAAAGGGTCGCAAAACAGATATTTTCATTTTATGAAATTGGGATTAAACGAGACCAATATGTTGTATAAAATTTGTGTCCAAACGGTTTTCTCTTTACCTAGAGTAGATAATAAATGTAAATAAATCAAATAAATATCAATACATTCAAATTCAATAAATTCAAAGGTATAAATAATATTTTCTTGCTAGTTTGAAATGTTTATTGTTTCATTCCGTGGTGCTTTTGGTCTATAATTTAGAATATATCCCACCTCTCTAGGCAGATGTAGTTGAAATAAAAATTTATTTACAATGCTGGTGCTTTTAGCTTCATTTTATTGAAGCTGTGTGTGAAGAACTGCCTTCTTTTGTCAGGGCGACGAGCGCGAGTTCTACGTCGACGGCGAGAGCTACGAAGTGCGGCCGGTCACCGTGCGCGTGAGACCGCGCGCCGTGTCCATTTTTGCGCCTCCACGACCTGCGTAGTTACGGGACGTTATTTTGCTGCTATTGGTATTGAAGAACTCAATTATATATCTTCAAATTGTTCGGTGAAAGCAGATAAAACAGGTTTAAGCTGAGATTTTTAATGGTTGGAGCTGCGTGGAGTTAAACATGATGGTTAAGTTTTAGCTTAACTTGAACTTCTGTGAATCATCATTAGAATTTTGAGGTACCTTTTTGATAAAATATCGCCTATAGGATCAAATCGAATAATTCAATGAATTGCCACCGCTATTTTTTTTGGCTCATGTATTTCTTGTTAATTTGTCCTTTCTTTAAACTTCATTTAATGTCAATAATTATTAATTTCAACTACTACTGTGACATTCATCTTTTTTTTTATCCTGCTTGAATTATTTTGTTATTTCGTTCATTCTGTTAAGAAATTTGTATACCACATTCATTCTCTATATGTACATTTATTTTATTATTTAAACCTCTCTTAAATTTCGTGCCATTAGCAAGACTTTTCGAAAAGAATCTGGATTTAGAAATAGATTTGTCCATTACAGTTGTTTTTCTCACTATAATTTCCTCTAATGACTTTTTTTACTCTAAAATTTTTATTGTTCGCAATATTGAAGATCGGCCTGCAAAAGGCAAGGGTTCGCCCTTGCCTGGGGCAAGTGGTCGCTCCCCCGGGCTCGCAAGACCGTTTGTAGGCAGCAAGGATCTTTGTAAATAATTCACTAACTTTCGTTTCATCTAAGAGAAACAAATTTGATCAGTGCCATATGCTTTAGTTATTATTTAATTGTACCCTCATCCGCACGAGTCGTTCACTACAGCCGCTACAACCTCGTATTGAATTTGTCGAGATCTCCCATGAGTCAGATGTCGCTGTTAATACCAACACAGATATAAAACTTCGGCAACATTCTTGTAATTATAATATTCTCCTCTTAAATAATTGAGTGCATATTGAGTAGACCTTACAATATTTCAGTTTTTGAACAAATTCACTGCACTGTTTTTTTGCTGGGCTGTTTATCTTCTCTCTTGTGCCGTTGCTTTATCCTTTGGTATTACTTCTCCACCAAGTTCAGTTAAACTAATGAAATGCATATTTATAGAATTACTATGATACACTAATTCTATTGTTATTCTATCAAATGTGTTTTGCCTACTAGTATTGTAGTTATTTTATTTCTAACTTAATTTATAACTATAGTTATAGTTATTTACCTGTAGATGTGGTTAAATTTTGTTGTGTGGGACAGTCTGCACATAAATGACCGATGGCTTGAAGTGATTTTCCTCGGCTGCGCTGATAGCAATAATTATTAACAAGAAGTTAATAACATATGAGAATAGAAGAAGAAGAATATCAAGATAATATAATAATAATAACATAATAATAATAACATATGAGAACAACAATATCGCGTGTCTCTTAAGCTTGCAGTGCCAGCGATGGCTAAACCCGTCAAATTAACGTGCGCTCAAGCAAAAGGTGAGTAGTAATAGCATTAATTAGATCTTTATTAATGTAATTTCTGGTAGTGTTATAATGCTGAAATATGTTACATGGAATGGTGGACCTTTTATAGAATATATTTGAACCTGTAACGGGGCATTGTCGGATATCATATCCTTTTATAAATACATAATGCATAACTCTGGTAAACTATGATAAATTTTCAAAAATAGACACGATACTCGTTCTGAGTCAAGTTTAGATTGCATTGTTCTGGTCAAATTCAAACTAATGGGAATATATTTCTTATCTCTATGCTTTATAACTGGAAAACAGGAATAAACTAGGTGGCCCTGGCCACTACGGCACTACCAAAAGAATCATAATTTCAACAGCAAATTTATTTAAGAAAACCATGTTCTGGCGCGTTAATGTCTTCGAGACAGTAATGTTATTCGAAAATTATTTTTAAACTTATTTTTCAAATTATCTTTAGTAGCTTTACATTCTAATATATTGTAGCACAACTGAGTTGTGGTGATTTTTATGCTTTAAAGTTATAAAGTTTGGGTAGTTGCATTAGCTTCAGGGCAGTCTGTGTTGGTGACGACGAGCGGCTGAGTGTTCTTTGCAAGCGTTTATGAGGAAGAAGGTTAACATTTAAATAACTATTATGAAAGCAATTCGCCTATCATAACATATATTCTCAGTATTATTTATTTATAAGAAATGTTATTATTTGAATGTAATGTTTATGGCGGTGTTTTCATTTGTCTGTTGCTCCTCCGAATAACTCGTTGCTCTACATGTGGGCAGAATGCCTGACCACCGTACTGGACTGGGTGCGGGACGATGCTGCCAGGGACGCCGGTGTCGCGGAGCTCGTGCCCCCAGGTCAGGGTGGGGCGGTAGCAGTTCGATGCGCTCTGTAAGGCCGTGTGCAATAAGGAAACATGTTTGCTAAATATGCAGTCTTGATTTATCATGTTGTCGCTCGCACGAGGGCTTGAACAAAGTTTCATTTATATGTTGCACCAGTGTTGTTTGTTGGCGCTCACAGTAGCATGTTAGTCTGCGCGGAGTGTGTTAATTCTTATTCTCATTTGCAACAAATGTGTTGATGGTCTTACTTTCTTGCAAGTCTGTCAGTGTGTGGCGTCAAAGTAACTAGTCTTAGTTGCAGCAGTAGTGTTGATAGTCGTACGTTGTGGTGAGTTTTGCAGGCAATGTGGAGCGTTTAGATAGTTATTCGGTGTAACGCCAAGAGCGTGTATTGTACGTTTGGGTGCATTTATATAACTATTCTATGTAGCGGTCAGAATATTTCATGTCGAACGTTGTGGCGCGGCAGGCAGCGTGTAGTGTTTACACACCTTTTTTCTATGGCGCCAATAGTATGTATTGTCGTACTTGTGGCGCGTCAGGCTGCATGGAATGTTATACACACCTGTTTTCTATGGCGCCAATAGTATGTATTTGTCGTACGTTGTTGCGCGTCAGGGACGGTCAGGCAGCGTGGAGTGTTTACATACCTATTTTCTATGGCGCCAATAGTATTTATTGTCGTACGTTATTGTGCGTCAGGCAGCGTGGAGTGTTTACATTCCTATTTTCTATGGCGCCAATAGTATGTATTGTCGTACGTTGTTGCGCGTCAGGCAGCGTGGAATGTTATACACATCTGTTTTCTATGGCGCCAATAGTATGTTTTGTCGTACTTGTGGCGCGTCAGGCAGCGTGGAGTGTTTACATTCCTATTTTCTATGGCGCCAATAGTATGTATTGTCGTACGTTGTTGCGCGTCAGGCAGCATGGAATGTTATACACACCTGTTTTCTATGGCGCCAATAGTATGTATTGTCGTACTTGTGGCGCGTCAGGCAGCGTGGAGGAGGCCCGGGAGGCTGCCGGCAACGACATGGTCGCGCTCATGACGCGCGTCTATCCCATCATCGCTACGCTCACCTCAGCGGCCATCGTTCCTCTAGGCTACCCAAAAGATGGCTCCGGTGAGTCATAATTACATTCGGTATCTGATATGCGATGAAATAATTACTTTTGGTATGTGCTTTCCATCATGCGCCATGGCTCATTTGATTTGGCATTTATCTTGAATTCGAGTAAATATGATTGAGAATTTGGATGCTTCATGTAAATTGTATGTAAATACGTGTGTGTGTTGTACATTTGAGTATATAATAGTAGTAATAAAATATTAACTTCAGAGTGTGTTGCAGGAGTGCTGCAGTTCGAGCGCGCCGTGCAGTCGCTGCTGCCGCAGGACGCGGAGCTCGCGAGGCTGCACTCAGAACTGCGGTCCTACTACCTCCCCGCCGTGGTCTTCCCCCCGCCCCACTCCACCTCCCCCAACCCCTAGACCTGACCCCTCCCTGCCGTGGTCTTCCCCCCGCCCCACTCCACCTCCCCCAACCCCTAGACCTGACACCTCCCCCAACCCCTAGACCTGACCCCTCCCTGCCGTGGTCTTCCCCCCGCCCCACTCCACCTCCCCCAACCCCTAGACCTGACACCTCCCCCAACCCCTAGACCTGACCCCTCCCTGCCGTGGTCTTCCCCCCGCCCCACTCCACCTCCCCCAACCCCTAGACCTGACCCCTCCCTGCCGTGGTCTTCCCCCCGCCCCACTCCACCTCCCCCAACCCCTAGACCTGACCCCTCCCCGCCGTGGTCTTCCCCCCGCCCCACTCCACCTCCCCCAACCCCTAGACCTGACACCTCCCCCAACCCCTAGACCTGACACCCCCCCGTGGTCTTCCCCCCGCACCACTCCACCTCCCCCAACCCCTAGACCTGACACCTCCTCCAACCTCATTTTTGAACAAATGAAGTAGCAATATAATTTTAATGGAATTAATTTGATGGCATTTAAATAACTGAGCTGATCTTAATATTCCTAAGTTTACATTTTTAAGTGTAGTGACCATATTTAATAGCTTCTTCAACTGCGATTTCCTCCTGCAATATGCAAAATGTTAGAAAATACGAAAACAATTCAGTTAAGTGAGCGAGTTGTCAAAGCAAAATTGCCTACATAAAATCCATGAGCTCAGCAGGTCCAGTTAGGTAATGACGGGCCCATACGCAGAGCTGGGCAGCGCTACTTTGAAATGTAGCGGCGCTACCGCTACCGCTACATGCTCTGAATGTAGCGGGCGCTACCGCCACCGCTACACCCACTAGATTGTAGCGGGCGCTACCGCTACAGTAAAATGTAGCGCCGCTACATTAGCCGCTACAATGGCCAAAATTATTGGAAATCTCTAAATATTTATTGTTCTGATATTGGGATTTACTCGATCATAAACATTTAATGATAATAAAACATTTTTAAAACATATTCAATGCAACTTTATTGCAATTAACCCAACCGAACTAGTACGGGTTAGATACAGTGAATAAAAGTTAGTTATTTTTAAGTACATGTATTACCTTCCCTACATGGATGTTCATTTTAATCTGCCAATATCAAAAATTATCCACATATACATTTAAAAAATCAGTCTATTAGTGGAAAAAATGTGGATTATTTTTGAGATTGGTAGATTAAAGTAGACATCCATGTAGGGAAGGTGAAACATAAAAATGACTGTGTAAAAATAACTGTAAGCAAACTGAAACATGAAAAAATACCGGTAAATGGTAACTGCACATGGTTAACAACTTAACAAGTAACGGCTAACATGTTGACACTAGTAACAGGCTGAGGTTGACAACATTACACCGAAATCTTTCGTACAGTTTTATTCTGTAATTTATATTATGTATGTATCATGCTGGTTTTTAAATAATATTTAATACTATTGAATAAAATCTAAAGGCTTTATCTAGAAATGTAGTGGTAGCGCTGTTGCGGCAAAACCTCGTATCGCTACTTAAATATGTAGCGGGCGCTACCGCTATCGCTGCAATTGCTTAAATGTAGCGCCGCTACCGCTACCGCTACTGAAAATGTAGCTACTGCCCACCTCTGCCCATACGGGATGGGAACGTTGCGAAGATGAGTAGCGGTGTCAACGTTCCTTAGGCCGTTATACCTTTCGCCTGTTTCTAACATCGCAGAATATTCACAGCTTGTTGCGGAATCCGAACACGCGACTCGCTGCTCCAATTTTACTATTCTTAACCGCCCTGCCACCTCTCCGCTTTGACAAGAACTGTAGCAGGTAGCTGGGGTAGAACCACAACCCTCTGCTCCAGTCTTAAACTGTAACTGCTGGACCATCTTTGCAAGATTTTTAATTTTAAATAAAGTTATTTTTTTTACAATTTACTTTGCGGCTAATTGATCGGTTTCTGCTAATGCGGTATGTAGTACATAGATTCAACTCGGAGTTTCCTGCGTCTTCCTCGCAAGCGTACATGTTCGTTATTTCTTATTAAAGCATGCATTAATGCCATATTGACCATAAAGTATTCCTTCACAAATATCTGGCTCGTAGTCAAATCATATTCATTACAAGAAATTTGGCTGCATATGTTGTACTTTCTGGTATTGATGACGAAAGTTGCACGCGAAATTAAGCATTAATTGACAGGTAAGGGAGAGGTAACAAACATCTAAATGTAACAAGACAATACGCTATGCAGAGGTCGTATTTCTTCGACTATTTAGAATTGAATACAAATGTACTATCTCGGCGCAGTTTGTTTTTATTTTTGATGAACCAAGATTACAGCTATCTAGACATGAATGCTTTGTTATAGCATCGAAAATAACACGACGTTACATGAGTCACTTGCTCAATGTTATTTTTGCATACGATAAGGATCGAGAATGATCCTGCCGATGAGAACTGTGTTAGTCGTTTTACCCTTTAATCACCGAGGAATGCTAGCTCGTACATTGTTAGTTTTAGAGGTATTCTGCTCCGGTTTCCATATGTGGACGCTGCGATTGGGCTCGCTTAATGATAACAATGCCAAAGCTGCGTTGGGTTTGTATAACTATTATCTTAGCCAAAATTGCGAAATTAAAAATCAGACAGAGTGGTACCTATCAGACATAACACAATATATTCTCACTCGAGTGAGACGAATAATTCGTCAAGTCTTGTAAACTGTGAACATGATAGTTTCCCACGAAACTTTTCTTTAGAAAGAATAGAAGTGCCGGCGTTGACGAAATAGGCCAATGAGAAGCTAAATTGCAAAAAACGGAACGGGTGTCTGTTCGATATAGCTTCACGGTGTAATTAGATGGCACAGCCAAGGAAATGGAATATTAGCAAATTAACCGTATATATGACACAAGCCTATACTCTATGGTTCAAACAAAAAATAATAAGGACACTCGAGTCAGAAGCTTCCATTCATCTATACAGCTAAGATTACTATTTCTTTTAAAGTCAACCCTCCTCGTCCTGACATTGCGTCATTTGCGTACATCAGCTGAAGACACTCAAGTGTATCAATGACTCAGACGCTCAGTTACGACTCGGACAATTTTCATTCAATACACGAATGATTTGTTATTGTAAGAGAATTGCCGGCATGGAGCTCCTGACCACAGTTGGCATACGGACTGTGAAGGTTTAAATAATTTTATGCGGAGTTATCAACCAAAATTCAGCTCGTGACCAATTTTATCGGTAATTCTCTTTTGAAACTGCATTGATTTACCTCATAGCTCTCAAAATTATTAGACATAATGATAATAACCAATAATATTTGTTCGCACTCTCTTTATTGAAGACCATTTATGTCTGTCATTATGTTAAACGTGCGCTTAAAAAATAATAATAAAGCTACTACGGAAGCATGACTGTGCTGCGCGGTGCTTGGGTAGCAGAAACAACATTTACTACTCGAGTAAAGAGTAATTCATTTAAGTTCATTGAGGAAACTTAAAACTAAATTTCATTGGTTATACTAACACGCTGCAGCGTGTCGATCAGCGAACACCTGACAAGCGAATAGAACAGCCCATCTAAATCGGCATCTTAAATCCCACCATCACAAGATCCCTACTTATCATTTCCTACCGTCCTTACAATGGTTTCGGGTAAACAATATTTTACGGTGAAGGAAACTGCGGTCGACCGTAATTGATAAAACTTTTCGAAGCAAATCCGAACCTACTGAACACTTTGATCAAAATCAGAGCAATGTGAAAGTGTGAAACGATTGTATCACTAACTAAACTATTTAATTCCACGCCGTTCAAACCTGCAACCGTCAGATTGATTCAGTATCATGAAGCGCAGAACGGATTCATTATAAATTATTTTACACATTAAAACATCGAAGCATTATCGGCCTAACTTATCGGCTTAGCTGGTAAATATGCGAGTGATTTATCATTGAAACATAATTGTCAACATGACAATTTTGTACTAATGAGCTTCATAAGTACTGTTTGGCCGCGAAAGCTAAATACGGGAAGTAGAGGTTTCAAAATTTGTAAGGTTTTACACGTAGTTATTTGCTTCTCAAAATTTGCTTCATGGCTAATTAATCTTACTTTGCTAATTCTGAAGTGCCATTGGGTCACGATTTCTGTAGGCTCCATATCCTGTGTAAGAAAACCTTTTTTGCTTACGATTCTTCAAGCCTCGAATTAACAGTTTTTCATTACAGTTCAAATTCTAGTTCTTAGCCCGAAATTCTCGATTTGAAGCCCAAAATTTGGTCAATTTCATTGCAGTATAGTTTTGTTGATTTTCAAACAATTTGTGGTCCGAATTTTTTTGAAAGCCTAAAATTAATTGAAATTGCAGAACGATAATTCAAAGAAATTCAATATCTGCAACAAATTTTATATATACTACTGTGAGATATCAGATACCTTTTGGACACTTTTACGGCTGGACTTGTTGCGGGTTCCCAAGTTTCAGTGAGCTTAAAACCTAAACTAATGAACTCAGTTTGTTGAAATTTCGCTCGCATGTTCAATAGAACCTAACGGTGATTGTTTGTTTGAGATCTTTTCGTTTCTATTTCGCCTTAGTTTTCGAGTTTTTTGGTCATACGGCCTAAAATTTTGCAGTGAGCCACGTGCATCTTCTATACTGCTGAGAAGATTTGAACGAAACCTTGAATAAACATTCCTAGCCACCCAAAGGGGATGTTCAGGTTGTAAAAAAATAGTGTAATAACGCTTTCGTTCGCGACTTATACGGCTATACGGAGAAACGACAAGCATCTCTGAGGCCGATTGTCAAATTTGCAGCGAGCCTAAAACATGTCCCAAATCAACTAACGCAGCTCGATCAAACGTTCATTAGAGTAACGGTGATGTTTGGGTCATGAACATTTGTTCGATTTCGCCTTCGTTTCCAAGTTATGCGGTCCAAAATTCGCAGTGAGCCTAATATATAGTTACATATTGACATTGTATAGTTTTTTAATATAACGTGAAAAGGAAGGCTAAATCGGAAGACTGATCACGAACGAACATCACCGATAGGTCCTATTGAACACGTTGAAAAGTTTCATAGAGCTATGTTCATTACTTTAGTTTAGGCTCACAAAAACTTAGAGACCAGCCGCTAGTCCGGTCTTTTAGATTGGCATGTATAACCTTGATTTGATAAATTTTTCTTTATTTTTGTTATAGTATATTCCATTATTGCTACATTGACTGGAAAATTTTATTTTGATAAATGTGCCTTTATTTCCTCAGCCATTTCTTTCAGTTCACCATTAGTCTAAAACCAAACTCCTTGTTTATTGTCTATCAAGTTAAAAAAATGTATGCATGTCATTTGCTGGTCATTTCTTTATTATGACTTTAAATTTTAGGATAGTTTTTTCATAATTTGTGGATAAATTTAGGTAGCATAAGTACCTAGTAACTCGAAAATATGCCAATGATTGAATGAAAACAATATGAAGAGTGTAAGACTGTACAGTAATTTCGGCTTCGTCCATCCTCTGACAACAACTTATCATGTCCATCCAATTATCTAATCAATCATTTTCTTATATTTTACGCATTTATTTTTTATTATTATTTGTTTCTGAAACTTGACTGCGGTATCAGACGTACCACACAGCTTGTGATCTCTGTCAACGACTACGCACTTGTGCAAGATGGACAGACAATATTCACGTTTTAGAATGTCACAGCTGATCGCACATTTGGAAACAGGACACCTTATACGATAATAATATGATAAGGTAGCGAA